GCTCGGCAGACCGCGGACCGGTCGGCCCTACTGGTCAGCTGCAATACAGTCGGCGGTCGGGGTCGGCGGTCGGGGTCGGCGGTCGGCAGGGATGCAACCATGACGTGTTCTGGAATAAAGACAGTTTCCAGAAATCTACCCACGTCAGTTACTGTCTAAGCCCGACCACAGGTCGGATTTTCTGGTTAACAACACTGATCACTCCGGTAGCATCAATACCCAAGGCTGACGCAAAGAAACACCGTCCAGTACCAAACCATATCAAGGACATGCGGCATGTGTACAGCACCATAAGCAATGTAGGTAAAGCACTCTGCATCTCTAACAAGCCATGCGATCTGAAAAGTGACAGCCCATGGGAATCTTATGACACCAGGTAGGAGCATGAAATCAGGCCCGACCTATGCCACAGTGCCATGATGGCACCCCCACCCCCAAACACCAGAAGCACCACTGCATCAAAACTGCCTAAGGGATGTGTTTTACTTTAATCTGGAGAGCACTCGACGAAGGTACAGAGGGCGGGAGGCTGCAGCTTCCTTGAGAAAGAGAAAGACACGTGGTAGACATTGGGACGAGAGCCGGCCAAGGTGATGAGGTGGGAATAGGGTGAGAGAGAGAGAGAGAGAGAGGTGATTGGGCCTAGTTGTCTCGGCATATCGTACCTGGTATGCGTCTTTGTGGTGCAAGTCCTACGGGTTACCTACGAGGGCTCACTGTCCTTTCCTACATTCTTTTGGTCATGCACCTCTTTTGGCCCCCAGCATTCACCTCTTTTGGCCCCCAACCTTCATGAGGCTGAGAACTTTATGTGTCTGTCACTGTCTGATCTGCCAGCAGTTCCATGCTGCATTTGTATTGCTATTTCCCCCTTTTGGTACCATATCCGGACTTTGATCGTGTCTTCCGGTGCAAGTCATCCTCTCTGCAGAGAGACCTGCTGCACCTCTTGCATCCGTTATTATTCATTCGTTTGAAGTCCCTTGTGCTTATGCAGTTGAAGTCTTGAATAACTATTTCACATGCCGATTCCTTGCCCTTTGTTCAGACTCTAAAAGCCTGCGTTGCTTGCATACAAGTTGATGAAACATAAATCTTCCCATTGTTACAATTCAGCAATTTACACAACTCCATGAAGTGGAGAACACTTCGAAGTTTGAACAACAAATCATGGAGTGCTTTTCTGGTCTCTGTCATTTCCTCTTCTTCCTCTGTCTATATCTCTACCCCTACCAAATTGAATCTGTTTCTCCTGTCCGTTTCTCACCCTCGTAACCATTTTGCACCAAGTGCTAAACCACTGGTACGTTTCCCGGTCATTTTTAAAAGGCACGGCCCTGCACGCGATGCATTCTTTAGGGGTCAGTCTACCGAGGCAAAATGGCTGGCTGCGCCAGCCAAAAGCAGGCCCCGCGCATGTGTTTGCAAGTATGAAGTTATCGGGTCAAGTCCGATCGTCTCCAATTTTCCCGCGAGCCCATGTAGCTCAGGTGGTAGAGCATTCCCTTCGTGAGGGAAAGGCCTCCGGTTCAAGTCCCGGTCGTGGACGGGGATCTCTTTCTTTTAGCGCGCACGGCGTTCCCAGGCGGTTCAAGTCCGATCGTCTCCAATTTCCCCGCGAGCCCATGTAGCTCACAGGTGGTAGAGCATTCCCTTGGTGAGGGAAAGGCCTCCGGTTCAAGTCCCGGTCATGGACGGGGATCTCTTTCGTTTAGCACGCACGGCGTTCCCAGGCGGTTCAAGTCCAATCGTTTCCAATTTCCCCGCGAGCCCATGTAGCTCACAGGTGGTAGAGCATTCCCTTGGTGAGGGAAAGGCCTCCGGTTCAAGTCCGGTCGTGGACCGGGATCTCTTTCTTTTAGCGTGCAGGGCGTCCCCAGGCACGCCAAGGGAAGGGTCGAAAGTACTACCGTCTTCACCCGAATAGAACCCCCGGTCATCATCGCTGCATCTGTACTGAAAATTGCACCAAATACGGCTATAATGACCGGGCGTTCTATTCGGGGCAAGAAGGTAGTCGTGGTTTAACAAGGCGTGCTACCTTGATAAGCATGTACCATTGGGAGGATCAGTCATGCACGACAAGTTGATAACGCCAAGGGCGTTTCGGGGTATAAGGACAAACCTTAAGGCAGTTGAAGATGATGCCTGGCTGTGCCAGCTTGAATTTTGCAAGCTCACCAAGGAACCTGATGTTCCGAACCTTGGTCTCGATGTTCATCGGATCCTGCACGCCATGGCATGCCATTCGCAACGACAGCATAACAGAAAGAAACATTGTTTTCTTTATCAAACAAAGAGGCCAAAACTTGTGTCACTCTCACTTTCAGACACGTATCGGAAAGCAAATGGAGATTTCAGAATTTCGGTTCAACAGGAGACAAAAAAAAAAAAAAAAAACATAAGCAGAGAAAAGGAAACCCATAAACAACGTCAGAAAATCCTAGGCAAACAGGATGACCAAAGGGCAGACCAACAAAACCTGTGCAAAGTTGACCTTTCTTAATTCACGATCGATGGCGGCAAAATGATAATCTTCAGTCAAACAAATGACAGAAGTAGACTTGCAAGTCACACCAAAATCCAGTTGTGACAGTTTGGTAATCTGGACTTCGGGGTTTTCCGATGTGGGATGTGGTAGCTGGGACCATGGGTGCAAGAAGTTCCGTGGGTGGCTCGTTACCTGCCTACCCATCCTGGTATTGAGCTTCCGATGACCATTCTTTAAAACAAGTACAGTCACATAGTCTGCATTCCCCAGTAGGAATTGAACTTCTAACCTTTACAAGCTGGTGCAGTTAACGATTAAGATTTAAGAGGAGCTGGGACGAAAGCAAGTTCCCTTTGGTACTAACTCCCATCCCCTCGCCATGCACTCACACTGAACTCTACTTACTCAATTTGGAGTCAATTCAAGAAACAACAACTACGGTGCTCATCACATTAGCCCCCACTGACAGGGGACAGTCGCTCCCAGGGACTCTCTCAAGGTCAAACATCGGGCTCTAAGTGTGTTCCACACACACACACACACACACACACACACACACACACGCACGCGTGCGTGCACGCACACACACACACACACACACACACACACACACACACACACACACAGGTACACGCACACACACACCACTGATGAGTCGGTGAAAGTCCGACGAAACAGTTTGGCACAGTCGTTCCTTTTTTGAGTGGGGTATAGTGAATATGAAAACACACATACTTATAAATTCAACCACAAAGAGTCAAGCTTGCAACAGCCTATCAACAAGTTTGATCCATACATGAGGTTGAATGAATGAGTGGACCTGCCTGATGGCCAACATTCCCTCTGATATGGAGTCTGTTATTATCCTTCTATTTGTTTTTTTCATCTGATTCTACCTGGATTCGAACTTGGGTCTGTATCTCAAGAGTTTCATGGGTGTGCAAACCGCACTACCATGTTCACCCGAATAGAAAGCCCGGTCATTATAGCTGCATTTGGCCCAACTTTCAGTCCAGATGCAGCGATAATGACCAGGCATTCTATTCAGGTGAAGACGGTAGGCCCACCGGTGGCTATCTGTGATTCGAAGGGCATACTCACACTGGGTCCTTTCAGACTCGGCTGTGGCTGTAATTGTGGCCAGGTGCATACACAGGTGGCCGTATTTGCAGTCAGGTGCATGTAGCAAAGTCATGTGAGTATGCTCCAAGGGATGGAAATTGAGAATTTAATAATGATCATCACTGGTGACTGGTCACGACATGGGTTGTAGTCTCATCCAGGGATAGGTTAAAAAGTTGTCAAACGGAGAAGGAGAACTACATAAGAGGTTCAGAAACGATACAGACCCACTTGGACAGTTGAAAACATGTTGACATGAAACAAAACAAGCACGGGGGATGTGCAGCTATGTAGTCATTGACTGGGATGAACTCCAACAACAACGACAACGACAACGACAACAACAACAACAACAACAACAGGAAAGTTAGCACCAAACAAAAAAAAGAGAAAAATCGTCATTCAGCCGACTACAAACCTATGATAGTCATTAAACCACCAGTACTTGCTAAAGTCGTGCCCATTAACAAGCCACAATTTTAGGATATGTACGGGCCGCTACAGGAGCGCCCAAATTCTTCCGACTAGAAACGTTTCTACTCTATTTTTTTCCACAGCCGATAGCTAGGCCAAGTACTGGTGGTTCAAGCGGAATGAACTCAAGAAAAGGAAAGTAAGCACAAATCAAACGAGGAAGATCGTCATTCAGGTCGCGCTATAAAGTAGTATAAACCTATTATGCATACATACATCATTACATCGGATTCCCATCACAACAATCTGACCTTTTTCTAACCTTCTTGTTAAGCAGCATGTTGAATTCATCTTCGAGCATCTGCAGCAGGAACGGTGCCACATCTCGCATGCATTGAGATAGCGTTGCCACGAGTCTTGAATAGTACGGAAGCAGCTCCAAAGCAGTCCTTGGCACACTAAACAGCGCTCTCACCAGCTTCTTGCGATTGCTCTTTGAGTTGATGTAGCAGAAGTCGACCTGCAAGCGAACAAAAACAACTATTTAAGGATCGATTACAGAATCGACTGCACACTCCAATAACTCTGTCGCATAAGGGACCTATATTTCTGTAGTAAAGGGTGACAGAAGGGCCCTATATTTTTGTAGTAAAGGGTGACACAAGAGATGTCAACATGACGGCAGTACAAAGTACTACAAACATAATGTTCATGTACCAAATGTGATTTCACGACCAACTTTTCACATACACTTGTGGTGAGTCTTATCCGTTTTTATTGTGGAACGAATTAATAATGGACATAGAATCGAACTTGCACATCAGCAAGGATCCAAGAGTGAAGGTCCCATCATCAAGAAGCAGCTGACTACTATCAGGGCATACTCACACTTGCTTCACTAAACGTCTCTGACATAATTACAGCCAGACCTGGATGAATCTGACTGCAATCATGTCCAGAGCTTAGTAGAAAAAAGTCCTAGTGTGAGTGCGCCTTCGGTTGAAACTTGAAGAAAGCACCCTTGAGAAGTGTGCGAAGTGGGAGAGAAGAGAAAACAGGGCAGCTCTAGCTGAAAACAGCTAAGGCCACCAAGCCAGATAAATACATGCCTGTCTTTGGTTTGTCCTCTTCCCTTTCTTACTGATCCTTACTCATCATTATTTCCCTGGTGTAATGCGAACAACCCAGCATGCACTGCCAACTTCCGTGACGCAGCACCAAGACGTCAAAGTCATACTAATTTGCCACCTTCTTTGCCAGTAGTGCCATACTACAGCCAATTGCTGCCACAGTGATCACCCTCACAAGATTAGCTACGGAAACCAAACGATCAAATCGTGTCCCCAAAGCACTCCTCCCATCATGTTCCTGTCCCGGTACCCTTCCTCCTGACTTGACTGCAAGATGAGGGGCAACCTGTGGCAAAAGTCCTAGGCAAACAATGTAATAAGTTAACTAGGACCATTGCGGCTTTTGTCCACAGGAAACAAAAAAGAAAACAGAAGCAAACAGATATTTCAAAACAAACTTCGATGCTCGCAGAAAAGAAAGGAAACCCACAAAGAAAAGACTTACGAATCTAACTCTCTCTCTCTCTCTCTCTCTCTCTCTCTCTCTCTCTCTC